ATCATAGATTTGTTTAATTGGCATTTCAAAATATGCAATTACTTCATTTTTACTTTGTGCATTACATACATCAATTTTTAATTTTTCATGAAGTGGATTTGCACATAAAATTTGTGATATATGTTCAAATTGTGGATTTGTTTGACTTTCAAATGTTTGAGTTTTAGTTTCAGTACCTTCAACTTTAACTCGACAAAATGGATTTGGTTCTTGATGTTTTTTTTTTGATCGCTAATATTTGAAGATAATAAAGAAAATAAAACACAATAAAATAAGTAAAATCTTTTTTTTTTTCTTACAGGAAGATTAAGACATCGATCAATATAACAAACAAGTAAAGCTTTTGATAATTTTTCTCGTTTTATCATTACATTATTTTTTCTTTCAATCTAAAAATATTCAAATATAAATATCTAATAGAAAACAAAAATATCTATTATTAGTTTGCTTACAATTTCAAGAGCAGATTTTTGTTTTGTTAATGAAAAATATTGTAAACTAACATTTAATGAACCTTGTTTTACATCCTGTAATGTTAACCACTCGAAAATAAAAAATAAATAATTGACAGTCAATTTTATCATTTAACTACAAATAAACATACAGTATTAATATCATCATTGTCAACCAATGTATTAAGACGAAGTTGAGCTCTAATTGAAAAAAAAATTGAATTTTTCATCAGAAATTTAAATTTGAGCTACAGAATAGAATTTCGAAAATCGAAAGTAATCCGATTGAGAGGTGTATCACTTGTCTAATCATATTGATACTTTGGTTTATATTTTATATCTACTTTGCAAGAATAAATCTAAAATTTAATATCATATGTAACTAACAGCTTTACATTTACGAGCAAATTCTTCGTTCTTTTATATCGTCATGAGTAAGTGACTACATTTTTCGACACCTATTCACAAAGTATTATATTTACATTTCAATACAACCGTGTTCTGGGCAAATCATTTATAATTATTTGTCTCAAATTAACTAACGATGTTGTGATATACACCTGTTTCTATGGACATTTAGTGTGTGTGGAGAGTGCAAATAATTTAGTGTTAGAATTTTGAATCAGATCAATCTTCTGTCCAGAATTATAGCCAGTCATAGTTGCTAGAAAGATATCGAGTAATGGAATTTGTCACTATGCAGCATTCTTTCTTTTCATCATTTTAATTGAAGATTCATAGAAATGTATTCCTATTGAATCTAAGAATTAATCTGAATACATTTCAATAATCGATCGAAGAACGTTTACAATGAATGATTAAGGAGATATTTACTTTTGTAATAAAATCTTTATTCTATCAATCTATCTTATGATTTAAAATTATTATAAAATAATCGAAATTCTAAAGATTTATTTAAACAACATTTACCGTCCGATAAAATCATCTTTAACATGATCTTCATCATATACTTCAAATTCAATAGAATCACTTTCATATTGTTCAACAACAAATTCAAATATCTTATTTTTAAAATAAAAGAAAAAAAGTGCTATTAGAAAAATAAAGAAAATCAAATATACTTCATTCCATTCGGGATTCAGTGTATTATCAATTGTTTTTGTTCTATATTCAATACTACCTGGTACTATAAATACAGTAAAAATTTATCATTTAATAATAGAAAAAGAAAAGAATTCTTTTCTACCTTTAACTTTAACAAATGGGTCGCTTTTTCCTACAATATCTGCATTAATTAAATCTTGTGCTCTTAAAATAAATGCTCGCACAACACCCTAAAAATAAGAATTAATTCATTAATAATTAATATTAAATTCTAATAATATAACTTGAGGATTAGACCATCTTAAGTATCCAATTGGTATGTCTTTAACAAATGGAAGAACTTGTCTATTAGGTAAAACCATCATTGATGCTATAATATCATTGATTTGAACAAGTAATAAGTCACTATCAAAAAATAAATTAATATTTGATATTTCGATAATTTTAAAATTTCTGTATACTGAAGACCACGTATATCAACTAATGTTCCGGCATCGGTTAATTTAAAATCAAAACTCTAATGATGAAAATATCAACATAAAATCAAAATTTTCTTTTTCATAAAATAAATCTTTTCTACACCTACAGGTTTTTTCAAGAAAAAAAACGTTGCTGCACCCACTAATGGAATTGTATTAATTAAAGGACTTAAAATAATTCGAATATCACCAACAAACTGTATATCTTTAATTCCACACACAATGCCTTTCAACTTTGCTTTAATAATTGCATCACCAGCATAACTAACAGAGAAAAAAATAACAAATAGAGAATTTAAGTTCAAAAAATAAAAATAATTATTGATTTCTATAACATACACAACTTCAATATCCATCATAATTTGATCACGAACATTGTCTGTATAAACTTTAACACCTCCAATTCTAGGTGGCTAAAAGTGAAACTTAAATATAAAAAACACAACAAGTTTATAAAAAACAACAACGTACGATTTCTCCAAGATCAAGTTTTTGAAATGAAAAATCTGCTAAAGTTGATGATGTTCCACGAA